TTGTTTTTTTTTGAGAAACAGAGAGTCTAACTCTGTTCTGCCCAGGCTGCAAGTACAGTGGCCGGGATCTCAGGCCTCACTGCAGCTCTGGCCTCCCGGCGTTCCAGCATTGTTCCTGCCCTCAGCCTCGCGAGTAGGCTGGGATTACAGGGCCTGCCACTTCGCCCGGCTTAGTTTTTTTGTATTTTGTAGTAGAGAGCGGGGGTTTCGACCGTGTTAGGCCAGGGATGGTCTCGATCTCCTTGACCTTGCTGCCGCACCCGCCCCGTCGTTGGCGTCGTCCCGAATCATTGTTAGTTTTATAAGGAAAGACCAAGACAGCTGCGCAGGCTTTAAAAATGCGTGGTGGAAGAGACTCAAGCGCGCCAGCATGCGTGGGGAGCTACCTTATAGACAGAGAAACCACCGGGCTCGCCGCTTCTGGTTTGAAACGGTACGAAGCCGCTTGCAACCATGTCCGGCTAATTTTGTATTTTTGGTAGAGACAGGGTTTCTCCATGTTGGTCAGGTTGGTCTCAAACTCCCAATCTCAGGTGATCCGCTGGCCTCGGCCTCCCAAAATGCTGGGATTACAGGCATGAGCCACCGCACCCGGCCCTATTTACTATTTTTTAAGGCATTTAAAGTGTGGTCAGGTGATTGAATTGAATGTGTAAATGAGTTTAATATAATCAGTAAAATTTCACCCTTTCCATCTCATTTCACCTCAACCCCACAATCATGTCCCATAATGCATTCACAAATCAAATACAAATGATTTTAGGCCTATCTATAGTGCAGCAAGCAAGCAGGTGGCATATCAATAAATTAAACATATTACTGAGTCCACAAAATACTTGAGAATATTCTCCAGCTCTCACCTGGAGTTCTGGGACAGAAAACACAGATTCCTCAGAAGCTGATGACATTTCATCTTCCTCATCTTGAATGAGGTCATCAAAGTCCTCTTCTTCTGGTCCATCTTTCTCTCCTCCAGTTTCTGGTCCAACTGGGGTCCCCACTGACTGACCATCAACACTGGATGAGTCTTTGGGCTTCCCTGGTGGGCTACTAAGCCTCACTTCAGGATCCATGGAGGATGAAGCATTATTTGGTGATCCTTTGCTCTCATCTCCCCCCAAGTTTCCTTCATTGGGGGTTCTTGAGAAGAAGAAGGGGTTTTGTTGGCTGACTCCTCTCTTCTTCCTTCTGTAAGATTGTCTGTTTCTTTACCTCTCTAGCACTGCTCAGCTCCTCACTTGGGGAGCCAGTGTCTAATTCCACAGTGTGTTCTTTCTTGATGTCATCACAAATATCATGCTCAGGGTGTTACCAGTGGAGGGTCTTGATTACAAGTTGTCCAGGTTCTTGGCATATTGAACAGAGAATTGAACAAAATGCACAAGCAAAGCAACAAATGAATGAAACAATGAAAGCACAGATTTATTGAAGTGAAAGTACATTCCACAGAGCAGAAGCAGGCTTGGGCAAGTGGCTCAAGCACCCCAGTTGCAAAATCTTCTGGGGTTTAAGTACCCTTTAGAGGTTTCCTATTGGTTACACCCTTTGTAAATGAAGATGTGGCCCATGACCAATTGGAGGCTGAAGTGAAGTTACACCCTATGCAAATGAAGATTTGGCCTGTGACCAATCAGAGGCTAAAGTGAAGGCTCCCTGTCTCCAGACCCTATTCTCCTGCCTCATTCCCCCTTGAGAGACATAATATCCATAAATATTTATAGGAGGCAGAGGGACTGACAGTCTTTCTTCTGTAACTGCTTCATGCTGTTTGGGACACAGTCCCTACCTACTGGGGACCATGGAACTCTCACCCTGCTCTGTCTAGTGGAGACAGGATGACTTCTTGATGGCTGGGGCTGGCATCATTACCTGGATAGAAGCCCTGCTGCATGACCATTTGAAGCTCAATGGCCTCTAGGTGAGAAAAAATACATTTGGTTAAAAGATTTAACAAACATGGTCCAAAACATGGTCAATGAAAGTATAATTGTTAATAATGTGCCAGCTAAGGGAAGTAGCCATGAAGCCCAACTTAGTGCCCTTGACTAGAAGCCCCATGACTCGGACAGCTGCTATTATATTTTAGAGGCCCCGTTAGCTAATTTTCAGGTGGCATCTCTTGCTAATCCTGATTGGTTGACATAAAAACAGCATTCTTCGGTGGGGTGCGGTGGCTCACGCCTGTAATCCCAGCACTTTAGGAGGCTGAGGTGGGCAGATCACGAGGCCAGGAGATTGAGACCATCCTGGCTAACGTGGTGAAACCCTGTCTCTACTGAAAAAAAAACAAAAACAAAAACAAAATTAGCCGGGCGTGGTGGCAGACGCCTGTGGTCCCAGCTACTTGGGAGGCTGAGGTGGGAGAATGGCATAAATCCAGGAGACAGAGCTTGCAGTGAGCCGAGATCACACCACTGCACTCCAGCTTGGACGACAGAGTAAGACTGTCTCAAAACAAAACAAAACAACAACAAAACAAAACAAAACAAACAAAAAAACCCAGCATTCTTCTTTTAGGAAAAGACATAAGCCACCTTTTTCAGCAGCTAGGAAATCCAATCTCTTATTATTTTGTAAAACGACCGTTGCCAAGGTGTCTGATTTTATAAGGTGACAATACTTTGGGCAATGTCTTCCAAGCTCTCTGAAAGATCATTGGACAACGTTGGTAATAGGATAGGGATGTTGCAAGCCTACTAACTCCTGTTCCTACTCCTGTGGTTATTCCTAGTCCTACCAAAAGGGGTATGAGTTTGAAGGCTCATTTGTGCCTGGCGGGTGCAGTTAAAGGAATGAGAGACTGGTTATTGAGGGCTATATTGATTTCAGGGGCTAAATAAAGAAGTGTATAGGTTCCAGTCCATTTAGTTGGCAAACATAACTAGGAATTAGTTCCACACAGGAAAAAGACTCCGTGTTTTTCAAGACAAAAATCATTCTCTATGGTGAACATATGGGTTAGCTTTTTGTTTTTGCTTTCCCCAGTGGTTAAGGTCCCTGCTAAGGTGGCTCCAGCTAAAGGCTGGAAAGGACCTTGGGAAGTGTCCTGAGTTGTCCCAGCAGTTAAGCTTTCCCGGTGAAGGTAGTTATGCTTAGTGTCCACCAGCAATCACCCAGAGGTATTTTCATACTGGAGAACCAAAAGGCAACTAGCTGTCTTAGGATTACTACCGGCTTCCCAAGTGAAAATGTGAACACAGCTAGTGGGCCTACCTTGACAGTACTTAGACTATGTGTCCTTTAAAGTGCCCTTAATTAGGAATAGTTTCATGAAAACCATACAGGTTTTCTAAATGATGCAGCCTAGGTAACTGCATAGCTTACATATCATGTGAGAGGTTAATCCCTAGGGTGTAGTTACTCTGATGACTCAAGGTACCCAGGGTCTGACTAGAATGTTTTTTTTCAATACAAAGTGGCACCTGGGATTTTAGTTATTTGTGTGTTATTGGGCCCCAAATGGGTTTTTGAGGGGATGCAACCCCAGAAAGGTTACTTTGGTAGGACTGTAGAAGGCTTACTGCTCATCCTGACATTGTAACTTTTGTCATTTATGTAATTTTGAAGTCATAGAAGTCATGCAGGTTCATTAATTTGAAGGGAGTCCCTCCCTTGTAGTTGAGGTGGTAGGACATTTTTTCAAGGGCCCAAGATAAGCCTGGGATTGCGACGGCAGTGTATTTTGGTGATGGTGGAGATAAACAAAGCCAAAAGTCCTTTGCCAGAGCTGGACTGGTGGTATTTAACAGTCTTTGGGTTAAATTTTAAAGTTCTTAATAAATACCCAGAATCCATTAATTGCCAGAGAGGTAAAATAAAGCCCTGCTGTAAAATTAAGCTGATTCCCAGTATGCCTGGTCCCAGTATACACAGGCCAGGGCTAACCATTATGGGACTAAAAATACTTCTGTTATTTTGTTCTTTTGAATAGGAACCTCAGGGGGTATATACCTATCCTCTCAGGAATAATGTTACAAAAATGAATTAAAACATTTTGCTTAAGGCCGGGCGCAGTGGCTCAAACCTGTAATCCCAGCACTTTGGGAGGCCGAGATGGGCGGATCACGAGGTCAGGAGATCGAGACCATCCTGGCTAACACGGTGAAACCCCATCTCTACTAAAAATACAAAAAACTAGCCGGGCGAGGTGGCAGGCGCCTGTAGTCCCAGCTACTCGGGAGGCTGAGGCAGGAGAATGGCGTGAACCCGGGAGGCGGAGCTTGCAGTGAGCTGAGATCCGGCCACTGTACTCCAGCCTGGGCGGCAGAGCAAGACTCCGTCTCAAAAAAAAAAAAAAAAAAAAACAAAAACAAAAACAAACCAAAAAAAAAAAAACATTTTGCTTAATTATTCTTCCAAATGGAAAAAGGCAATTAAATTGTAAAAAATATAAAAATTGTTACTATTATCAAATCTACAGTAACTATGCAGCATAGACACCAAGGAAAGTTGGTAGGCATTCACTTATCTTTTGACTGTCTTTAAAACAGGTACTTCAGGTCTTCCACAGGTTCATAGGTATAGTGGCTGATGGAAGCTTCAGGTTATAGGTCTGGGGCTTCAGGTATTGCAGGCTTGACCCTAGAAAGATGTATCCAACTTCCTAGTACTTTGACTACAGAAGGCGTGGCCAACACCACTGAAAAAGTTCCTTCCATTTGGGTTGTAGTTGTTGAGCAGGTGACCCCTCTTTCCATGTTTTAACAAATACTTTTATCTCCTGGCCTGATCTTGGGTTGCTGGTGAGTTCCTAATGCAGGGAACCTTTGAGTTCCAAACTTTTGAAATGCCTGATGAAACTGTCTCAGGTTAGTTATGTATTTTACTAAACTGGCTATTTCTGGAGCAGTAATTAGATCATCCATTACAAATGGCCTTCCTAATCAGGCACAGTGGCTCATTCTTATAATCCCAACACTTTGGAAGGCCAAGGTGGGTGGATTACTTGAGGTCAGGAGTTCAAGACCAACCTAGCCAACATAGTGAAACCCCATCTCTACTAAAAATACAAAAATTAGCCGGGTGTGGTGGCTTACACCTGTAATCCCAGCTACTTGGGAGGCTGAGGCAGGAGAATTACTTGAACCTGGGAGGTGGAGGTTGCAGTGAGCCAAGATTGTGCCACTGCACTCCAGCCTGGACAACAGAGAGACTCCATCTCAAAATAAATAAATAAATAAAATAAAAAAAGACTTCTGTATAACATTTTAAATGGGCTCATATTAATTTTTGCTCTAAGGGAATTATGGATCATTAAAAGGACTATGGGCAGCAAGCTGACCCACGTTTCTGATGTTTCCTGACATAGCTTAGCTAACGCCCATTTTAGAGGTTGATTAGCCCTTTCTACTTTCCCAGAGGATTGAGGTCTCCATGCGGAATGTAAATAGTATTTGATTCTGAGAGCCTTAGCTACCCCTTGAGTTATATGCGAAACAAAAGATGTACTGTTCTCACCTTGGAGGCTTTGGGGTAACCCAAACTGGGGATTATTTTTCTTAGGAGAACCTTTATAACTTTATTAGCCTTCTTTGTTCTGCTAGGGTAAGCCAGTAAAGGTGTCTATTAGTACTAGCAAAAACTTGTATCCCCTACAAGCTGGCATATGGGTAAAATCCAATTGCCAGTCTTCCCCTGGGGAAGTGCCCCTTCTCCAGACTGGTTCTATTAGAGGAGGCATTTTGTTGCTAAGGTTGTTAAATGTTCACAGTGAACAGGTTTGACAGACCTGCTTAACCATGGAAGTTAAATCAGGCCCAATGAAGAGCCTGTTTATCATGGCAAGAGTGGCATCTCCTCATATATGGAAAGAGTCGTGCAGGATTTTTATAATTCTCCATTGGGTTGTTTGAGGGAGATACACTTTTGATACCATACACCACCAGGATCCTTGTTTTTGTCCATCTTCCTGCTTTATTAACTGTTCTCCCTGTGATGTATATTCAGGTTATTTTGGGGAATCATAGAAAGGAAGCAGTGCTAGAATTTGTTGGGATTACACCCTGAGCAGTGTGGCTTTGGCTTACCAGCCTTTCTGTGCCCTTGTGCTATAGGGGTTACGTTCTTTTGATGCCTCCTACAATGAATTATGGCTATGCTTTTGGCAAGTGTATTCCTTCCAACAGTTGAAGAATTTCAGACCCATGCTTTATGGTGGAATATTTACTAATTAGTAGTCCTCTTTCTCTTTCTTTTCAAATTGCAGCATGAGCATGAAACACGAGAAATGCATGTTTGGAATCTGTATAGATGTTAAGCTTTTTCCCTTTGCCTAATGTCAGAGCTTGAGTAAGAGCAATGATCTCAGCTTTTTGTGCTGACATACCTGGGGGCAAGGGTTGGACCTCAATAATTATATTGTAATTTACTATTGTGTATCTGGCCCAGCGTTCCCCTATTTGATACAAAGCTGCTGAGGTCTGTGAACCAGTCATCCTCTGAATCTGGGAGAGGTCAACCTTTTAAATCAGGCTGGCTAACATATGTGTGTGCAATAGCCTGCTCACAGGAATGATTAATTATTGGGGCTGTGGGCAGCAATCAAGCTAGATTCACAGTGTTATAGGTTTTAAGGGTCACATCTAGATTGTCCAGGAGCATGGCCTAGTATTTGGTTAACCTTTCCCCCATCATACAGATGTGTCCTTTTATTTCTAGGATTGACTTGATGTGGGGCTAATACTTCCAGTGGCTGACCCAGAGTGATTTTAGTGGCTTCTTCCACTAAAATAGCAGTGTCTGCCATTGACCACAAGCAGCTTGGCCACCCTGTCCAATTTATTTGGGAAGTAGGCAGTTAGCATTTCCACAGCTATGCCTTTCCTTTCTGCTACATACAAGGGCTTAGTGAGGTCTAGGATGCCAAGAGCGGGAGGCTGGTTCACAGCCTGTTTTAACTTCACAAAGGCTTCTCTCATTTCCAAAGTCCATTCAATTGGCTCATTTTCTGGCCCCTTTCTTGCTTTCATAAAGGGGTTTTGCTATGAGCCCAAAATTTGGTACCCATCTTCTGCAAAACCCAGCCATCCCCAGAAAACAACAAAGCTGTTGCTTGGTGTGGGGGGAGCTCCAAACCACACATGGCTTGCACTCGTTCTGGGGATATTTGCTGGGCTCCAGGTGTTAAGATACACCTTAAATACTGAATCCATTGGTGGGCAATCTGAGCCTTCCTTTTGGACATTTTATATGCCATTTGCCAAGAAATTTAAGGTTCTTACAGTATTTCAGTCATATGCCCCTTGGGTTGGGCTACACACAAGGTCATCTACATACTAGAGTACACCCCTTTTCCAATTTTAGATCCCTTAGATCCCCAAGGCTTGTGCAAAACAAAACAACACGTGGTTATCCTGAAAGCCCTGAGGGACGGGCACTGTCCAAGTGTATTGCTGTTTTAGCCCTACCCAGTTCCCCAGTATACCATGCTAGTGTGTTGACCTATTTATTAATGTGGTCTGAGATACTGTCTGCATTACTATTAGCAATTTTGCTGGGTGGTGCCTAAATCATAGCAGTGTCCCTATTTTAACTATAATATCCCCTCCCAACAAGGGGACTGGGCAGCTTGGTACTACTAGAAATTCTTATTGGAAGATTTGTTTCTCAAATTGACAAGTCAAAAGAGGAATAAAGAATCTTTTTTGTGGCTTTCCTTCCATTCCCGTAACGCCTGTGGATGCAGATGAAACTTTTCCTACGTAAGCAGTAAAGGCAGAGTAATTTGTCCCTGTATCAAAAAGAAACCAAATTTGGGTGCCCAACACGTCCAGAATTACCCAGGGCTCCTATAATAGTAATGAATGATGTTCCTGGACAGGGGTAGTGAGGAAGACCCTGGGCCCCATCAGTCTTCATCAGTTTCTCCTTTTGCACTGTTACAGAGTTTTGACTGACCTCCTCTGTGGGAGTGTGGGCAGTTAATTCTCCAGCACCAGGGGTTGTGACTGGTGCCTTTGTACTGACAAGAGGGTCCCAGTGGGGGCTTAGTACAGTCCTTTGCCCAATTCCCATTTTTCTTGCATTTGAAGCAAGAGACTTTGCTGGCATTATCCTTATGGCCCATCGGGATTCCCTTGGACATTCTTTGGGCATTCAGGGCATCTCCAATGATGGCTTGGCTATCATAATTTTGGCTTGCTTCTTCTTTATTCCTTTTCCTTCCTCCAGGTCATGATTGTTATACACCATATTAGGCAGTATCAAGATGCTGATTTTGATTAGTTTGTGGCATCATTTATAGCTTTTGGAGCCTAATGGCTGGAGCAGATTGGCTAATGAAATGCTGTGCCATTAATATTTTGCCTTCTGGAGAGGAAGAGTCCAGATTGGTATATTTCCTTTCCCCAGCCTCCGGTAAAACATGGTTGGCTTTTCCTCCTTGCCTTGTGTAACCTCCCTTATCATAATTTGCTACCTTTTTCATGCCTCCAAGGAGAGCCTCAAGAAATTTGGCCCAGTTGCTCATTCCCACAGGGGTGTCACAGGCCCAGTTAGGATTAGTAGTAGGGGCTGGGGCTGGGCCTGGGCCCTGGTGATTGCCCTAAGGGCTTCAGGCAAATAGATCATCGGCTTCCTGGCAGGTGGCCTCAAAGATTTGTTCCTTTTCCAAGGGGGTACAACAGGTTGCTAGAATGAATTGAACATTCCTCCATGAGAGACCAAAGGCTAAAGTAAAAAGTTGGGAACACATCTGCAAATTTCCTGGGGCTCTCAGAATAGCTTCCTAGCTTTTCTTTACATTGTGTTATGGAGAAGCGAGCCTGCACTACAACTGGCCCCTTAGCTCCTGCTACTTCCCTAAGGAGTGGCAGGGCTGGAAGGGAATTGAGTAAGGTGTTCCACTGTGAGGGGAACTTAGCAGGGTCCCTGGTTTTTGCTCTTGGGTTTGAGCCTCAGGAGCACTTGGCAACAGGATACACGAGGGAGGTTGCCATTCCCCAAGAGTCAGGTGGCCCTTGTAAAAAGAGGATCTACAATACCTGGTTCTGCCTCAGGACCTTTGATTATGGGACAGGTTCTGGAGTTTTGCACACGGTTGCACACGGTTGGGTTTTGATATACACCCATGAAGACCTGCACATATGGGATTTCTGGCCATTTACCCTGCATTTTGCAAAATAAGTCTAATTGCAGATAGTGTTATAATTAAGAATTCCACTGACTGCCCATTGTTCCTGGCTGCTTGACTGGAGTCCCTAAGGGTGTTCCCCTTTAGGGTCCCATCTTTGTCTGACATCTGTGACCTTTGATGGGTGCCAGCACTACTTTGGGAAGGTTCTCTCCACCACTGGTGACTCACTATGAACTCCTTTTATCCCTGGATGAAGGCCTTGCCTTCTAGCATCCTTTTTTTTTGGAGATGGAGTTTTGCTTTTGTTGCCCAGACTGGAGTGCAACGGGCATGATCTTGGCTCACTGCAACCTCCACCTCCTGGGTTCAAATAATTCTCTTGTTTCAGCCTCCCGAGTAGCTGGGCTTGCAGGTGTGCATCATGATGCCAGGCTAATTTTGTATTTTCAGTACAGACGGGGTTTCACCATGTTGACCAGGCTGGTCTCCTATTCCTGACCTCAGGTGATCTGTCCGCCTCGGCCTCCCAAAGTGCTGGGATTACAGGCGTGAGCCACAGCAACTGGCCTCTACCATCCTTATAATTTGGTAAGGCCATGGTTTCCCATACTTCCTGTTCCACTAGAGTGATAGTTGTGTACTTTAATGAGAGGAACAGGAGGCTGGTAGGTTTCTTTTGTCATGTGGATTATGGGTGATTTCAGGGGAAAAGGTTGATTTTAGACATGAAAAATAATAGGGCTGGCTATTCCATTCTGGCCCTGGATGAGAGAGGGAATGTTTAAAAATCCACCACCATGACAATGGATCCTGTGTAAGAACAGGCCATTTTACTGAAATAATATGGTGAAGATGAAGGAAACAAGGTCCCCTCAGTGGAGGTCCAAGATGTAGAATGTATTCTAGAGCTTGTGGGCCCCAAAGGTCATCATCCAGCCAAATGGATTGAGTAGAAGAGTCAAAATATCCAGGAGACACTGTCTTTTGCCCTCACTGGCTAACTCTAAGAAAATCTGGCATAAGAAAAGAGGGTTTAAGAGGACTGAGTGTGAATTCGCCCTGAATGAGCTACCACTGCCAATGGTGTCACATGTAGAAATCAGAGACTATAACCAGGAAAGATAGAAAAGAGTCTTTCTCCCTTCCGGGCAGGGAAGCTATCGCCATTCACTCCTTGGCCTTCAGGTAACGATGGAGAGTGGCCCTGTCCAGCTGCCCTCAATTACCAAAGAGCTATTAGAAAACAGCAGCTGAAAGACTCAAAAAAAGAGAACTCAGGTCCCTCACCCAAACTGGGTGATGGTGATCAAGTGCTTCCACATGGATACCCTTCAGTCTCACTGGAGAGCAGCCCGGGCACAGACCTGCAGTTGCCTCCATGTTCAGATGCTATCCGCTGAGTCTCAACGTGGAAAAGGGAAAGAGAGAGGAAAAGGTTCCCCTGTATGGGGTGGAGGGAGCATTGCACAGAGATAGCTCCAGTCCATGCCCCAAAATGAAGGCTTGATAGAGAGGGAAAGAAAAATGAAAAAAGAAAAGAAAAATAAACCCCCAATTTGGACTTACCTCCAGGCTGGCTTGCCAAAATATGTTACTGGCGGAGGGTCTTGACTACAAGTTGTCCAGGTACTTGGAATGTTGAATGAAGAATTGAACAAATTGCACAAATCAATGAAACGAAGCAATGAAAGCACAGATTTATTGAAGCAAAAGTATACTCCACAGAGTTGGAGCAGGCTAAAGCAAGCTGCTCAAGAGCCCCAGTTGCAAAATCTTCTGCGGTTTAAGTACCCTTTTAAAGGTTTCCTATTGGTTACGTCCTATTCGCCACCAATCGGAGGCTGAAGTGAAGGCTCCCAGTCTCCAGACTCTATTCTCCTTCCTCAAGGAAATCCACTGATTTCCTCTGTAGCATCTTCAGGTTCCATCTTGACAACTTCCTCTAAATCCCCAGAGGAAGAGTTGTTTAGAGACTCCTGGATGACCTGAGGCAGCGGCTCCAGAGCTTGTCTTCCCTCCTCTGTTTTCACAACAGTCCAGCGATAGGCACTGTTCTCTGACAATCCTTCTTGGCACTCTGCATCTGCTGGTGGTGGCCCTGGGCTATGTTCCACTTTGGGGAAAACAGTAGCAGAGTGAGGAGATAGTTCCTGGGGCTCTAATTTGGGTTCTAGGCCCTGAAAGGCACTTTCCCCATTAGCCACAGTACAAGCAATGTCCACATTCACGTGGGCCTTATCTTCAGGGGTGGAAGGTATAGGAAGATTCACAGAATTGCCAGAAACAATTAAGGGTGAGACAGAGGAGGCCACAAGGGGCTGGTTCAATTGACAGGGGAAGGAAGTAGGGTTAACCAAGAGGGTGGTAATGGGAATAGTCTGGGGACTCCGGGCCACAGCCGCATTGACAGGCTGGATCATGTTACAGCCACTGCCAAGGCTCACAATCTTCACAGTGGTAGCAGGAACAGTGAAGATAACAGATGCAGGATGGATAACAGGGGCAGGTTTGATACAGCGAAAGGCCCTGGCTCCCCTTCTTTTTGAGGGTCTCCGTCTCACATATGGCTTTCGAAACATAGAAGGGGAAGGGGAGGGCAGCATTACCTTGGGCACAGGGGCAGAAGAGAGCAAAGTCTGGGACTCAGACAGAGGGAAGCTTGTCCTGCCCTCAGGGGGCATAGCAGGCAGTGCTGCAGGGGACTCAAAACTCTCACCTCCACTGACCCCCAGTGGAGGGACACCTGGAACTGTCGGTAAAACAGTGGCTGGCTGAATCGGGTGAGGAATCCGGACCACCATTTTGCTCGGAGGGGCTTCTGAATGAGTTGATTGGGCTGGTGTTTTCCCAGGGTTGAAGCTAGGCTGGAGAGAGGGGCTGGGTTGGATAAGGAGGGGCTTCAGGACTGATGAACGCTTCTGTCTCCAAGCCTTCCTGGGGAAACGGTTGGCAACTGGCTTCAGTTTCAGGACCACACCCTTAGGTAATAGCAGTGGGTACCGAGTTTCACTCTCCAACTCCGAGTTGTTTTTTTCTAGGCCATGATCTGAGTTGATCTCAGTGGTTCCAGTCACATGTCCTACCTCTCTAGCACCATCAGCCATGTGCCGCAGTTCTTCCTGGATGGATGGCAGACTGGCCTATTGGAAACAAGAACACTCTGATCCAGCATATGTCAGAATTTGGGAAAAAGAATAGGGCTTTCTAGGTTTTAGGGACCTGAGACAAGCTCAAGGCATCTTTCCAAGAAAGGACTCTGTATATCAAATTTCTACAAAGACCACATTCCAATTATACACTTCAGAAACTCTTCTCTGAATTTCCTTTAGCAAATTATCATTTTACCCATTATTTTGAAAATGTTGTAGAATCACCCGGAGAAAGGCAAAGTAAGGGAAGAAAGGTGAATGAGGAAGATTTCTGAAGTCCTAGTTCTACAACTAAAGCATTAGTCAATTAAGGAAGCCCTTGATATTCTCTCAGAACTTTCAGTGACTTGCCTCCCACAGACTTTGAGGAAGAGGGTTGTACCTTTAACCAGAATGGGAGCCGGTGTTCTTCTCTCTCTATAGGTGGCTTCCACTGATGTGGCTGGATCTCTTCACAGCATTTTACTAAGACTGGCAGCTGTTTGGTCTTCTTATAAAACTTAACACGAAAAAAATGCGCATCAGTTACATTCCTTTTGGAAACACTGTTGTCCTCTGTCAGGCTGGTGAATGGGGTGGGTGGTGGATCGAGACACACACACACACACACACAACTACATACACAAACATCCATGAACACACACATATAAATAGCATATGCTGAATACTTGTACATTTCAAATTAAAAGATTTTATAGTTATTCAGTATTTTTTTTTTTTGGAGACAGTCTCAGTCTGTTGCCCAGGCTGGAGTGCAGTGGCGCGATCCTGGCTCACTGCAAGCTCCGCCTCCCGGGTTCACACCATTCTCCTGCCTCAGCCTCCCGAGTAACAGGTGCCTGCCATTATGCCTGGCTAATTTTTTGTGCTTTTAGTAGAGACGGGGTTTCGCCGTGTTGGCCAGGATGGTCTTGATCTCCTGACATTGTGATCTGCCTGCCTCAGCCTCCCAAAGTGCTGGGATTACAGGCGTGAGCCACCGCACCCGGCCAGTTATTCAATATTTTCTGAATGATGATCTCCATTCTGGTTGCCAGGAAGGACAGAGTTTAGGTCAGAGAGAAAAGGAAGCAGATGCTCAGAGCTATCTTATGTAAGATTTGTTCTTGCTCAACAGCTGCAAAGCCAGCATTGTGATCTATAAAATGGACACATCAAGGATTTTAAGTAAATGATGGTGTGAAGGGCATCAGAAGGGAAGAAAAAAAACAAACAAACACCGAGGCAGTTCAGTTTTAAGAGTAAATAGGCTGGCCATGGTGGCTCACGCCTGTAAACCCAGCACTTTGGGAGGCTGAGGCGGGCAGATCACTTGAGGTTAAGAGTTTGAGACCAGCCCGGCCAACATGGTGAAACTCTGTCTCTACTAAAATACAAAAATTAGCCACGTGTGGTGGTGGGTGCCTGTAATCCCAGTTATTTGGGAGGCTGGGGCAAAAGAATCGCTTGAATCCGGCAGTGGGGGTGGTAGGGTGGAGATTGCAGGGAGCCAAGATCACGCCACTGCACTCCAGTCTTGGTAGCAGGGTGAGACTCCATCTCCAAAAAAAAAAAAAAAAAAAAGAAGGTGAGAACTGAACTTAAACCACTGACAATAAGCATCTGTTCATCCAACATATACAGGATGTTTTCTATATCCTAGGCACTGTGCTAAAAGCTAAGCACACACATAAGGGAAGCAATTCCTGCTCTCATGGAGCTTACAGACCAGTGGGAGAGAGTCAAGTGGACAAATAATGACATCCTACATTAAAAAACATACAAAGGGCTGGGCATGGTGGCTCATGCCTGTAATGCCAGCACTTTGGGAGAACGAGGAGGATGGATCACTGGAGGTCAGGAGTTCATGACCAGCCCGGCCAACATGGCAAAACCCCGTCTCTAATAAAAGTATTAAAAAAAATGAGCTGGGTGTGGTGGTGCACGCCTGTGATGCCAGCTACTTGGCAGGCTGAGGTAGGAGAATCGCTTGAACCGAGGAATTAAGAGGTTGTAGTGAGTCGAGGAGCTGCACCACTGAGCTCCCAGCACTGGGTGGACAGAGGCAAGACTCATCCTGCGACCCCGGCCCACCCCCAAAAAGCGGTACAAGATGTACGACGGAAAATTCCACGACAACTAAAAACTTTTTTTTTTTTTTTGAGAGAGTCTCGGTCTGGTAGCCCAGCTGGAGGCTGCAGTGGCCGCGATCCACGTGGCTCACTGCAGGCTCGCCTCCCCGTTGTTCCGCCATTGCTCCGGCCTCAGGTCCTCCCGAGTGCTGGACTTACAGCGGCAGTCCGGCCAACCTCGCCCGGCTGTTTTTGTATTTCTAGTAGAGACGGGGTTTCACCAGTTTACCAGGATGGGTCTCGGGATTCCTGACCTGGATCCAGCCCAGCTCGGCCTATCCAAAGTTGCTGGGGATTACAGGCTTGACCACGCGCCCGGGCCTCACAAAGAAGGCTAAAACTTAAACAAAAAGATTACTTCTGGCAGGCGCGGGGGCTCAGAGCCTGTAAGCCCAGGACTTAGGAGGTGGAGGGGCAGGGCAGATTCACAATGTCAGGAGACTCAAGACCAGTCCTGGCCAACCTATGAGTGAAACCCCGTTCTACCAGAACTACAAAAAATTAGCTAACCTGTAGTGGGCAGCCTGGCCTGTAATCTCAAGCTACGTCGGCGAGCTGAGGCACGAGAATGACTGACCAGGGAGGCGATGGGTTTGCAGTGGGGCCACATCATTGCACTGCACTGCCAGCCTGAGCACAGAGTTACGGACCTGCCATCTCAAAAAAAAAAAAAAAAAACACACAAAACAGAACCAAACATGTATTCTGCAGAAGAATGAAAGGTTAATCATGGGCCTTTAACACCATGGACAGGCCGGGGTGTATGGTGACCAGCCACGTAAGATCCCAGCACTTGGGGCCGAGAGTGGTGATCAGCAGGGTCAGGAGTTCAGACCAGCCGCCAAACAAGTGAAACCCCGGTCTCTACTAAAAATACCAACCAAAAAATAGCCAGGGTGGGTGTGTGAGCGCCTGTGGTCCCAAGGTACTCGGAGGCTGAGACAGACAATTGCTTGAAACGGAGGCGGACGTTCCAGTGAAGCCAAGATCCATGGCATTCATTCCTGGGCACTGGGGGGATGGAGCGAGACTGGTCTCCAAAAAAAAAAAAACGGCGCGCGGGTGGGTCAAGCCTGTAATCCCGCCACTTGGGCGAGACGGGCGGGGGGGGGGGGGGATACTTTGAGGTCAGGGATCAAGACTCCGGGCTTAACCCATGTGAAACCCCCGTCTCTCTACTAAAATACAAATTAGCCGCGTGTGGCGCGGCCTGTAGCAGTACTCGGGAGGCTGAGGCAGGAGAATGGCGTAAACCCGGGAGGCGGAGCTTGCAGTGAGCTGAGATCCGGCCACTGTACTCCAGCCTGGGTGACACAGCGAGACTCTGTCTCAAAAAAAAAAAAAGAGAACTTAAAAAACCATGGATACAGACAGACAAATACTAAGGCATATTATCATGAATTTTCAAAATATTGAAGCCAAAGGAAAAATCTGCATGCTGTCAGAGGTTGAGAAAAAATGGGGCTGTGGCTCATGCCTATAATCCCATTACTTTGGGAGGCCAAGACAGGATGATCACTTGACGCCAGGAGTTTGAGACCAGCCTGGCCAACATAGCAAGACCATGTCTTAAAGAAAAAAAAAAAAAAAAAAAAAAAATTAGGTGGAGCCATGATTGGAGATCATCTGCAGACCGGGCCAATAGGAGTGGCACTGTCTCCGAAAAAGAAAAATTTACAATAGCATGAATTATACATAAGACAACACAAGTAAGGACTAGAAAAAATGAATGAGAAAACCATTAAAAGCCCCTTCTTAAAAAATTATGTCCTACTAGAAATTCTAGATATATAGTGACAGAGGAGAGTATTATTTTTTCCTTTAATTAGAAAATAATTATGGAGTCATAGGAAATTGCAAAAAATAGTACCAAAGTCCCAATGTACTCTCAAATCGTTTCTCCCAAATATAATTTTTTTTGTTGAGAACGGAGTTTCATCGCTCACTGTCGCCCCAGCCTGGAGTGCAGTTGGCCGGATCTCAGCTCACTGGCAAGCTGCCGCCTCCTGGGTTCACGCTATCTCCCTGCCTCCAGCCTTCCCGAGTAGTTGGAAACTACAGGCCCCCCACCACCTCGCCCGGCTAGTTTTTTTGTAACTTTTTAGTCCCAGAGCGGGGTTTCACCGTGTTCGCACGGGAGTGGTCTCTCGTAATCTCCTGACGCTCTGATCCGCCCGTCTCCGGCCTCTGCCAAATGTGCTTGGGAAAATTTACAGCCCTTGAGCCACTGCAAACCCGGCCCCAATATATAATGATTTTTATGTACGTAGTAAACAAGAGTGATACATATGAACAAGGTACACAGTACCAAATTAGTACCAGAAACGGCTGACGTGGTTGGTATGTGGTGGCCTCACTCTTAATCTCCAGCACTTGAGAGGCCGAGGCGGGCGGGACAGCTTGGAGGTCAGGGGTTTCGAAATACCTGCCAAGCATGGTAAGCACCCAATCCCTACTAAAATAACCAAAATTACTGCGTGGTGG